GAAACGCTGACCATTCACCAAGGCATTTATCACCAAGGCATTTATCATATTATTATAAAGGGCTCCTGGGTGGTGATTGTGTTTTTTTCCATCATCCTTCTCCATCCAAGCAGGTTAAACAGCGTGATTAGTCCAGGCTAACTGCAAGCAAGGGATGAACCTTCCGGAGGTGAGGGACATGTTTCAGTAGTATCCTGGGAAACATCTAGGAACTGGAGAGACAGGTTGCATGTACAGGTCACGGGAGCCTGTTCCCTCTCCCAGTTTGTTTGTCTTTCCATTGGACCAGGTCAGCCACAGCACGAAGTCCACGTGTGTGTGGTCAGAGGGAATGGTGCTGGAGCATTTCCCTCCTGCTCCAGCTCTTTGCTCAGGCTGTCTGCAAAGGAGGCAGAAGCCCCCCTGTGCACAGGGATGTGGCCCTGGAATGCTGTCAGCTCCAGTGGGTGTGCCCTGACCCTTCCATGCTGCTGCCCTGCACCAGGTTTCCCGTGGACAGTTCTTTGAGGCACAACCTTAACCCTCACCACAGCCAGGGACATTAAACCCCAGCGTGATGTAGAAGAATGACTCAGGATTTTTCCCTAGGGAAGCTGCCCAAATATTTTACCATATTTGCTCTCCTGCCTCCCATGCACACAGGCTGTTCCCCCGGGGTGGCAGTGAGCAAGGGATTACCAGTGGGGAAAAAAATGCAGTGGTTATGCAAGGGGAGGCAGATCCCAGCCCTGCACCCACATGGGCCCTGCCCTGGGTGAGCCAGCCCCTTCCCAGCCTTTAAACCCAAAATACAGCTCCCTCTGCCTCCCTGTTTCCTTCAGGATTCCTGAAATATTTCCCTGTAAAAACAGATCTCTGCAAAAAGGCATAATGATATAAAAACAGGGTTCATTTTTACCCTGCTATAAATAGCCACAGGGTTGCCCTGGCTCTCAGCTGGGCTGGGGGGGTGCTGAGAGTGAGATGACACTGGGCTCAGGCCACCAGTGTGCTGAGTTTGGGGTTTCGAAGCTGCTCCTTCAAGGATAAAAATAATCTCTGGAGTTTTTGAGGGTTCTGTTTTTTTTTTTTTTTTTTTTGGTTTTGAAGAGGTGTGGATGGTTTTTTTTGCCGTTTCCTTCCTGCATCCCCATCAGTCTCTGCAGCTGGTTCTGCATCCTGCAATCAAACTCCTGGTCCTGATTGAAGTGCTGGGGAACAGCACAGTGATGGGCAGCAGCCAGAGAGCTCCGTGGAGGGGGACAAGCACTGCCGTGCTCCCCTTGGCCACGGGTATCCGAACGGGACGTGTCCTGGGGCCACTCCAGGAGCTGGCAGAGTCCCCGGCCAGATGATGTCCATCTGGCTGCAGAAATGAAGACAGACACGCCGTGCTGGAGGTTAAGCTGCAGCTTGTTCCACTCAAGAGGAGCATCCTGCTGCTCCAAAAGCTGCTCTGCCAACAGCCAGACCTACGGGTGATGGAGAAACGTGTTGTCACCCCGTCACCTCTTCACGCTGCAGGAGAGGATCCACATGGACACTCAGCTCTCACCCTCTCCTGCCTGGGTGTGGAGCTGCTGTGGACTTCGCTCCTCAGTCCTCAACAGCAGTAGCAGCTTTGCTAAACCCATGGATTGGGAGGGAAAGCCATGGATTCCTGGCTCCCACGAGGACACTGCCCTTGGCTCTCAGCAATTACAGAGATGGCTCCTTCCCTGACCGCATTGGAGAGGACACAGGCTCTGCAGTGCTCCTGGTGAGGGAGGAATTCCTCCATCCTCACAGCAAACTGATGGTCTTCTGAAAAGCACCAGCCCTGGCAAGTGCCACTTGATTCTCTGTTCAATTTGCAGCACCAGTGGTTGCTGGCAGGTCGTTGCAGAGGTCGCTCTGTGTCACCTCGGCCCGTCCGTGCTCCCCGGAGCTTCTACCCACTTACGAGCACCACATATTTTATTTCAAGGTGACTGAGGAATAATCAATACCCTGCCTCCCTTTCCTTCCTGGAGGAGCAGAGCGAAGTCAGTCAAGGACAAACGGCACCACGACGTTCCTCCCGGACACGTCACAACCAAAACCTCGGAGCAGGAGGGAAGGTGCAGCCACGGCTTCGTCGCAAACACCACGTTTAGACAAAGTGGTAAATAAAATCAGGGAATGCAGACTTCTACCTGAACAGCCAGGGCTGTCCTGCGGGTGAGGTGTGGACACAATGCCAGCGCTGCAGAAAGAGCTCAGCACCAGGGGCTCAGGGCTTCTGATGGTGCAGCCATCAAGCCTGAGCTGTTTCAGTTTAAATCCCCTGTTCCCACCAGGACTGGAAATGCCCATCTTGGGAAATGTCCATCTTGGTACCCAAATCCTGATGTCTTCAGGAGGCACTGCTCAGCTCTGAGAAGGTGCACCCAAGGCAGGTCTGTGGCACAGCCAGGGATGCCCAAATCCACCATCCACGGACTTCAGGTGATGTGATGAAGGATCCAGTGTGCTCCAGACTGACTCGAGGCAGGGAAGAGCCTCGTAGGGGTGATCCTGACTGAGCACACGGGGTAGTTCCAGACCCTGGACCACAGAGGTTGTTCTTTGTTTCCTTCCATTAACACTTCCCATCATCTCCTCCTGCGAATCTCACATGGAACCAGCACTGGGTGAGTCCCACAGAAACAGCAGGGACAGGCACTGAAGTGGAGAAAGTGGGAGCTTGGGAATCCTGCTCACTCAGCTCAGCAGACATCAAAGAGGTGGCAGGAGGAGCAGGGGCTGCTCTGGTGCTGGAAACCAAACTTGGCAGTGGGGAAGTTCCAGGACAGGGATCCCTGAGGTGGTCCCCAGGAGATGCTGCTGTCCCTTTGCAGGTGAGGTGATGCTGTGAGCACTGGGAGCTCCGTGCTCTGTTGTATCCCAGTTTGTGCATGAATGGAAAAGCTGTTGGGGTGCAGGGAGGAGCTGGGGGGTCCTGGGGCGTGCTGAATGTTTCCAGCTTGGTCCCAGCCCTCCTGCAAGGGGGGTTAGATCAGGGGTCCAGGGCCCAGCAGTCAGATCATGCTCACGTGATTGATGTTTGGAGTTGGTGTTGAAGGTCACTGTCACTGTCCCCCCACTTTGTGACAGTCCCACCCCAAGGGTAGGAGATGGGGAAGTTTTCCTGCAGCCGTTGCTGGGGCTGGGAGAGGCAGCAGGAGGAGGACTGAGCTGGGGATCCCTTTCCCTGGGAATCTGTCAGCAGAGATGGGCAGGACACATCCCAGGAAGGTGCCTCCCAGCTCTGCCCAGCTCTGCCTGTCCATGGGGGGCTGGTTGTTGGGGAGGGGGTGATGGGGAGGGCAGTGGGGCAGAGAGCCAGAAATGGGGTGCAAGCTCGACTTGCCAGGGGACACCCAGGGGGTTCTGTTGCCATTCCCAGGCATGAAATGCTTAAGCAGGGGAGGGGTGGCTGGGAGAGCTGAGGTACCTGTACAGGAGGTGCCCATACAGGGAGTGCCTGGCAAGAGTGCACCCAGGACATGCCAGTGCAGGGGCACCTGTAAAGGGAGTGCCCAAGAAGGGAGTGCTCAGGAGATGCAGGAGCAGGGAAGGTGCCCGGGAAGGGGGTTCCCAGAAAATGCCCGTGCAGGAGATGCGCTCACAGGGGGTGCCCAAGAAAGGGGTGCCCAGGAGATGCCAGGGAAGTGTATTCCCATGCAAAGGGGGCCTGAGAAGAGGGTGCCCAGGAGATGCCCATGCAGGGATTGCCTGGGAAGGTGGTGCTTGTATAGGGTGTGCCCAAGAAAGGGGTGCTCAGAAGATTCCCGGGAAGGGGATGCCTGGAAAAGGGGCACCCAGGAAAGGGGTGCCCAGGAGATGTCCATGCAGGGGGTGCCTGGGAAGGGCGTACCCAGGAAATGCCCAGGAAGGAGGTGTCTGGGAAAGGGGTGCCCAGGAGATGCCCGGGAAGGGGATGCCCATGCAAGGGGTGCCTGGTAAGGGAGTGCCCAGGACGTTCCCAAGAAAACAGTGCCCAGGAGATGTCCGGGAAGGGGGTGCCCATGAAAGGGGTGCTCAGGAGATGCCCATGCAGGAGGTGTCCACGAAAGGAGTGCCCAGGAAAGGGGCGCTCAGAAAAGGAGTGCCTGCAAAGGGAGTGACCAGGAGATGCCTGGAAAGGAAGGGGGTGCCCAGGAAAGGGGTGCCCAGGAGATGCCCGGGAAGGGGGTGTCCATGCAAGGGGTGCCTGCAAAGGGAGTGACCAGGAGATGCCCGCGCAGGAGGTGCCCGGCAAGGGAGTGCCCAGGAAAGGGGTGCCCAGGAGATGCCCGGGAAGGGGGTGCCCGCGCAGAGGGTGCCCGGTGCGGGGGTGCCGCGGCGGCGGGACGCACCTGTTCCAGCGAGCCGCCTTCCGCCGGTAGTAGCGCAGGGCTTCGCGGGCGCCCAGCAGCGGCTCGGCGGGGCCCGGCGGGGCGGTGCGGTACAGCGGGTGGGCGAAGAGGCGGCGCAGCGCGGGGGCGGTGCGGGCGCGGGGCGGCGGGCGCGGGTCGGGGGTCCCGGCGGAGGGGGGACGGCGGCGGCAGGGGCAGCCCCACGGGGACGGACCCCTTTGCCCCTGCAGCTCCCGCCGCGCCCGCGGCCAGAGGTGGAAGTAGAGGTCGGCGGCCAGCAGAGCCCCGAGCAGCAGCAGCACGGCCGGGCGGTCCCGGCGCGGCCCCGGCATGGCCGGTGCGGGAGCTGCGGGGCAGGGACGGGCACGGGCACGGGCACGGGGACGGGGACGGGGACGGGGACAGCGCCGGGCGCGCCGCCGCCGGCTCCCGGGGCAGGGCGCACGGGGGAGCTCGAGCGGCGGAGCCGGGGGGTGCGGGCACCTCGGGGCGGGGACCGGGCTGGGCTGCTCGGGGCCCGGGGCGGGGGATCGGGGGTGGGGGGGGGGGGTGGGTGGGGGGGGGGGGGGGACGGGAGCGTGGGAGTCACCCCCGGCGAGGGGTGCGGGTCGCGGTGCTGGCGGGAGGATGCTCCCGAGGCGGTGCGGGGACCGAGCAGAGCCGCCCGCCCCCCCGGAGCACCGCCCGGCCGCCCAGCGCAGCCCCGCGGGCAGGTGGAGGGTCCCCCCGCCCTCGGCTCCTCGGGGGCTTCGTCCCCTCTCCCGAAAGGTGGGAAGCCCTCCCGGCGGAACCTTTGGCAGGAGCTGGAGGGGGGCGGGTGTCGCTGCTGCGGGGAGGGCTCGCGGTGGGTGCGGGGATGGGGCGCTCGAACAGCTCTGTGTGGCTGCGGGCTGAGCCCCGCGGGGGTCTGTGCCCCCACAGCTGGGCTGGCAGCCCTCCTGCCGTGCTCTCTGGTGGACTGTTCAGACGCCGCTTGTATTTTCTTAATTCCTAAAAAAAACATATAGTTGAGGAAACTCCTCCCTGCAGTTCGCTGGGAGAGGCTGGGCCGTGGGGATGTGCTTGGGCTGGGACCCATCGGGCTCATCCTGGAGGGATGGAGAGCCCGGCTTCAAGCGGGGTGGGGAGCCCAGCAAGGGACAGGTTGGAGAGCACCAGGCCAAGGGAGGGGAACGGAGGAGAAACTGGCTGTAAACAAGGGGAGCGTGACCAGACTAGCCTGGCTCCAGCACCGTGCTGAAGGCAGAACAAAAAATAAACTGCAGAAAAAGCCAATTATGTTTTCAGCTGGCTGGAGCAGGGCTCGGATCTGCGTGCAGCACGGCCAGGGGAGGCTCGGGGAAGTGTCCTGGGATCAAGGGGTTGGGACTGTGCGAACAGGGTGAACCTGCTGGCTGAGCATCTGTCCTGGAGCCTGAGAGGGCCCTTTGGTTGAGGAGGGGAGAGAAGACGATCCTGGGCTGAACTGTGGCTGGAGGAAAGTGGAGCACATCTGTCCCCTGGGTCTCTTGATCTTTGGAAGTCAGGGGCTGTTCTCAGTTAGAAATGCAATTTCAAAATTCCTTCATCTTTTGATATTCGGGTTTCAGGTTTTTGGGGTTCGCTCTAAACTTTTTTTTCTGTAATACCAAGCTTTATGTGTTTTCCACAGAGTGTCAGAAAAATCATAAGCACAAACTGCAGCTGGTGCTTCTGTAGCCAGGGAGGATCGGTGGGAGCAAATGAGCTGCTCCCCACACTGCTTGGCTTTTGGGGGCACTGGCTGTGCCTGTCCTCTGCCCTTTGGGGACAAAACTGGTGTAATGATTGCACTCGGATTCCTTCAGGCTCCAAACCAGACAAGAGGTATCAAGAGGGAAAATTTTAGGGTCCTGCCTGTGTTGGAAAGGCTTGGGGGGCACTTGGGCGGGCAGGGGCTCTGCTCAGAGGTGCTGGGTTGGGATCTGCAGGGTGGGAAGCCACAGAGCTGATCCTCCTGACACTGAAGGAGAGAAGAAACTTTCAGGATATAAAATTGGATGTAAATAAGGGGGGAAATGATCTCTGGCTCTCTGGTGAGGTTGCTTAGGAGAGAGCAAAGCGTGTTGTGCTGCAGCTGCACACTCTGTCCGGGAACACCGAGGTCCTCAGTCCCTCCAGGTGACCTGGCAGCTTCCCCAAACCAGTGTCATCATAAGCCCGATACAAAGCAACAGCCTAACAGGGACTAACAATAGGATTCTTATTTAAAAAAAAAAAAAAAATAAAAAAGATTAACCAGCTGAAGTTAACAAACTTGGAATTCAGCAAACCCGGATGAATCACCGGGAGCAGAGCCTGCTCCGTGGCTGCCAGCCCGCTGAAGGGCACTCACTGCCTCACTCCAAACTCAAAAGAGCAACTTTTGACAAACACTCCATCAAAAAAACTGGCTAATACTTGCTTGGCTCCTAATCCTCCCTGAGCTGTTTCCCCGTTGCTAATCTCTCCCAGGAACCATTAATAAATCTTCCCTGGTTTGCAAGGCTGATTCTGAACAAAGGCACCAGGAACCAGCAGTGCCCGGGCCCGTGGCTCTGCTATTTGCACGCTCCACAGGAAGATCGTTTCGCTTTTAATGAGCCCACTTAAAAAAGAAACAAAAAGTAATAAATCAATCCCATTAATCTGTAATAAATCGAAGCGCTGAGGTCCTTCCCAAAGCCTTCAGTGACTGCCAGCTCCCAACGTGCTGGGATGCAAAATCTCTGTTATTATTTAGAACAACTCAGCAATGGCAGTGGTACCTGGGCCGTGCCTGCCCAGCGATGCTTCCCTGCTCATCCATGGCTCAGAGTCCCTTGGGAGCAGGGGGGATCCCTCTGGAGTTTGTCTCCATCCCTCAGCATCTCTCTGTGTCCTGGTTTCTTGGTTGGTGGCTCTGCTGCCGGGCTGTACCTGGTCTGTGCGTAGCCCCGACATTCCCTGGGCTGCAGCTGAGCATCACTCCCCACTCTAGGTCTCTGCAGCCTGGAAAGGGTGGATGTGTTCCTAAAATTAACCTGGAAATGCTGCTTTGATAGGCCACTGACAGCTACAGCGGAACCAAATTAGTGTTTGGAACTACCATGAGATAATTGGCCTCATTTACTATTTAAAGATGGGGGGAAAAAACCCTCCCTCTTCCACACAACTGCAGTGGAGGAATGTTCAGGCGTAGGTGATGTCCCAAAACATATCATTAAAGCTTTAAATAAATGTATGATGACATCTCGTGTTAAAAAAGACTCCCTTTGTGTTTCAGATAGGAACCAGGAATCCTTTTCAAAGTCGTGTTTTAACAAAGGATATTCCTCTTGTTTTTCCAGACACGCAACTTACAATATTTGGAGTTGTAAGTATGTCATTTGAATTCTTTCACACAGGGTGGATTTAAAAATCATCTTCCTTAGAGATGCCTCTTACTTGCCAAGAGGTAAATTCCTCTATCTGCTGCTTTTTGTCTTTTCCACTTGAAATGCTGCAGGGCTGCCCTGGTCCCACCCTGCAGATTGTAATGTTTGGAAGAGGGAGGAGATGAGAACTATCCCTTTCTCACTGACATTAATTACAAGTATTAAACACCAAGGCAGCTACACAACATTACAGACAAAATAAAAACACGAGTTGGAGGAGCCAAGTTCTGCATTTGCTGCTCCACAATCAAGATGTGTCTGAGCACATCATGGCACGGATGTGCCAGAAGCACATCCCTCAGTTCCAGTCCTGCTCCTGGTCTGGCTAGTCCAGTCAGGACTCAGAGAACCAGGTCCATCTTTTTCCTGTGTGATGGTGGTGGTGGTGATGGTGGTGATGGTGGTGATGGTCATGGTGGTGGTGGTTATTTTGTTGGTCATGGTCATTGTGGTCCCCAAAGTGCATCTCCCACCCTCGTGCCAGGGCTGGCATTTATTTCCCAGGGAAGGTGGTGCCTCTCACAAGGTGTTTGGTGGGGTCCCCTCTGCCTGAACCCCCCAGGACTGAGGGTTTCCCACCACCAGGGTTGTGTGAGATCCCTCCCCAGCCTGTGCTGTGCTGGCTTGGTGGGAGAAGCCTTCGCTGTTGTTCTGGGCTGTCTCACACTCTGCCTCGGCTTGTAATTAAAAATGAAATATTTGGGCTAAGTGCTGAAATTAAGAACACATTTTTGATAGCTAACAATACAGAGGAAAGCCCTGGAGACCCTGATAGGGCAATTAGTGCCTCTCCACTTGCATTGGAGATGAGTCTTTTGAGAGAGGAAGCCTCTGTTCACTCCAGGGGATTTTTTGGTACAAAAATGCAATTACAGGGTATAAAAGGGAACATTTAGAAACATGCAAAGCGGGAATGAGTCTGGAGCCTCCTTTGCCGCAGGACTAGGAAGGCAGAAGGTAAGAGGTGCCCCAGGCATGACATCCCTAACACTTCCCCTCCAACCTGCCAGCCCTGGCAGCAGCTCCCATCAACTCGTGGTTTCATTTCCCTCCCGTCTACCTCTCCTGGCTGCTGTTCCAGGCTCAGCTGCTGTTCCAGGCTCATCCCTTGGCCTCAGCAAGCTCCCAGCTGCTCCAGGCTCGGGAGGCTGGATGGTTGCTATCCCAGTTGGCAATGAGCTTTTGCACTGCTCAGCACAAACTGGAGGAATCCACCTCCACGGTCCAAGCGAGCGGCCGTCGTGTGCCGGGGCCGCCTCCTCCAGCACAGCTCTGCTTCTCCCCTCCCTCTCTCCCTCTAAGCATCTCTGGAGCTGGTGTGTTGTTTAGAACAAAGCCTTGAGGGGCTGTGGCAGCTTCCCATGATCAATCCCAACACCTTGTTGTCCCGGGAGGATGAGCAAGCCATGAGCCCTCGCACGGTGCGTGGGGGATGAGGAGGCTCCGCTGCGCTCCCCACGCTCCCACCTGAAATCCAACTGATGGACACCAACCCTGGGGGCCTAAAAAAGTTCTGCAGCAAGCAGAGCTCATGGAGGAATGTGGTGGTGACCTGCACAGAGCCAGCACAAGGGCAGGGCTGCCTGCACGTCCCTGCAGAGCGGGTGACACAGGGCTGTTTGTCTTGGATGGGCTGGAAAACAGCACTGACCTCTTGAGCAACACTGGGGGGTTTTTGGCTGGCTGGGCAGTGGCTCAGCTTGTGTTGAGTTTAGAAGGTCTGATTTCCAAGATAGGAAAAACCAAAACAACCCTGTCCAATGGCCAGACTTGCCCTTGGCAAGGAGGAAGGGAACAGTCGGCGTCGTTAAAGGTTAAATAACAGCAAATCACATTTCTTGTGCTGGGCTGTGTGTGCACATTATTTAATCAGTGTTTAGTTTGTTGAATTACTTTTATTGGGAGTTAACTGTGTAGTGGTCTCAGTGGAACATCTGGTCCATGATTTGGAAAGAATATTCTTCGACCCTTGCTGACTGCAATTATTTTTGGAGACAAGTGGAGGCTTTACAGGCATTAAGAAGATAAAATGCAGATTGTTTGCGGAAGGGTTTTTATTTTATTTTAGTGGCTTTCAGAGAGAGAAACTTTTATTATTTTTTTGGTCTATTCTTATCAGACAGTGCAGTGGAAACCGAGCAGAAGGGCTGGGAAGAGGCACAGATGTTCCCTTTGCCATTGGCTGGGCCAGGCACCCAAACCCAAGGCAGAGGGTTTGAACCTCCCTCCAAAGCTGCTGCAACATTTTCCAAGACTTGCAATCGCTCCTCTGCCCACCAGTTTCCCAGTAAAATCACTGAAGGCTGGTGTGGGACTCTCTGTATAATAATTTGAAAGCGTGACAGTGGATGGGACAAGGATAGTTTACAAAGCAGAGAAAATGAAGGGCTTTGTGCTTCCTTCCATCGATGGGAAAATCACAGATGGATCCCGAACTTCCAGCTCTCAGCCCAGCACCAGTTCACCCAGACCACAAAAGAGAACAGCCAATCTCCCATTTGGAAGCTGTGATGGAAGATGGGGCACCTTTATCCCCAAGAGTAAATACTCTGAGAAAAAAAAAAAAAGCAGCATTAATTTATCAGTAGCTAATAAGTATCTCATGAGTTAATTGTTGTTGTACATCGGATCCCTCCGTGGAGGAGGCTGGCTGACTCCTCTGTGTCTGCAAGAACACTGATTTCAATTATTTAGAGGAAAATATACAATCCTGGTTGCTGTTTGCTCTATGATGGTGCATCTTGTCCCAGGGAAAACCACAGGCAGACAGGCTGGGAAATTATGGCTGTTTTTTTAGCAGGAAGATAAAGTAGAACTGTTAAAGCAGGGAAGGATGGATCCTTGGATATCCTGGGGCATGTTGTTATGGGCGAGATCATGGATTTGAGAAGGACCTTGGGTGGCTTTGGAAGGGCCAGTAATACTCATACTAATACTACTAATAATACAAGTATCATTGGTGTTTTATTCCAGCACCTCTATATATACATTGATTTTTTGGAAATGCCCTCATGTGTCAAAACTACGAAGGGAAGAAAAGGAAAGGGAGTGAACTTCTCAATCACAAACTGATTTTCAGTGTTTATTATACTAAGAGGAGGGGGAGAAGCCCTTTCATGCTCAATCCACAGCTGAAATTGCTCATTAAAAAGCACCAGTAAATTGGGATGGTCAAAAGCAAACTTCAGAGCAGCAAGATGTTACTTCTCACTAGTAAAGATGCTGTAGGTGTGTGTATAACCACAATATCAGCCAGTGGGGAAGATCCTTCCCCTTCCCAGGCAGCTTTTGTGGCACCACATCCCTGCCCAGCTTTTCCGGAGGGTTTTTTTTTTGTGTGTGTGTGTGTTTCTATTTGTTTTTCCCCTTCCTGACATATTAATCTCGGGGTCATCTTAACCTTGGCTCTGTGCTGGCTCTGGGAAAGGGCTGCTGGCAATAACCCTGCTGGAGGAGCTCTCTGTGGGCACAGTATTTGGTAATAAAAGCAACGATTTTGGAGCGCGGAGCTCGCGCAGGGAGCTGCGCAGGGGGAATTTGTTAAATAGCTTATTCTGCAATAAATGCAGCATAAATTAAAAATGAATGAAACAAAAATCAGAACAAATGGAAAGAGCTAGGAGGGACCCTGAGAGGGCATCTGCTCCATTCCCAGTGTTTCCAGGATGGATGTGCCTGCTGGATCTGGGCAATCAACACCTAGATCGATCACCCGCCTCCTCCTCTGGCTTTTTTACCATCAAATATTGAAATATTTGGGCCTTAGCTGCTTGTCAGCTTTGCTTCCTGTTTTCTCACTTTGTTGGAAGTCAACCCCAGTGTTGAGGGCTTTTTTTCACCAGTAGGATACAAAATCAGGAGAATAAGTTAATGCCTTACACTAAAGGAGAGCTGCTGAGCCCGGGTGTGTTCTCCCAGGGGTCTTTATCTGTCTGCAGCACAATCGTGTGTGCATATCAAATTAAGATGAAATTATGGCACTGGGACCTCATGTAGATCAATTGTCTCTGTGTAAAATGCCTCCAGCATTTTAAACATGAGTTCCTGCACCAGAGCAATGGTCTTTGACTTAATCTGCCCTCCAGGACTGCTTTAGGGGTCACTTAGAGTCAGTTCACCCCTTTCACACCAGAAAACTCACTGTCTTGCTGGAGAACCAGCAGCAAGATATTTTTTGGAGCAAGAAAATAATCAGGGTAGTTTTAATGAGGTTCAGGAGGAGGAGTCTCTTATCAGCAGAAAATTCAGCTGTTTTCCCACTCTGTCCTTCCTTGACTTCCTTATTAACCCCTTGCCACCAAGGATGAGCACCAGGGCAGGGAATGCTGTGCAGAGCAGAAAGGGAGTGTCTGCCTGAAGGGAAAAGGTAGGTCTGGAGAATCAGGTGAGTACAGAAGGACCTGAATTGCTTGAACTGCTCTGATTTTTCAGTCACATCAACAAATTAGCAGGTTTTCCTAATAGAGTCATGGAATGGTTTGGGTTGGAAGGGACCTTGAAGCTCATCCAGTCCCACCCTTTGCCAAAGGCAGGGACACCTTCCACCAGCCCAGGTTGCTCCAAGGCCCGTCCAACCTGGCCTTGGACACTTCCAGGGATGGGGCAGCCACAGCTTCTCTGGGCAACCTGTGCCAGGGCCTCACCACCCTCACAGCCCCTGAGACAAAAAATCTTGAACAACAGACTGGAGTGGACTGGAGTGCACAGGAAAGGGCCAGGATGGGTGTTGGGACCTCCAAGAGTAGCAAACATCTTTGACCTTGTTTCTCTCCATGTTTTCAAGCCCCTGCAGTCCATGGGAAAGGACACAGGTAGACTTTTCCATCCAAGCCCAGTGTGCTCCGTGGAGAAAACCTTGGAGGGAGCTGATGCCAATTTTAGCCCAAGTTCCCACAGCAGAAATAGATCTTCCTGAGCACACATTTAAATTCTTAGTAAATTATATCTCAGGTTAAACACTTTATTAAAGTGCCAGGGGGGCATTTCAGGCTGGCTGTATGTACCTCATCACAGGAGATGGGCTGGAAATTACAGCAATTTGGAAAGAACATGGATTTGAATCTTAGAGCCTGTGGTGAAAGTCAGTGCACAGTGAATTATTCCACGTAATTCGTGTTCACACATGGATTCAGCTGGAGCCAAAGCATTTCTATGGTATCACATTTCTCCAGTGAGCTACTGAGTGTAACACAAGGGCTCTTTTGGGGGAGTTTGTGCTTGTCCTTGGGGTTTTTTGTTCCTTTGCCTTTGTTGCTCATCCAGAGGCAAATGCTAATGAACTAGATTTGTTCATCTGCTGTGTGCAATAACCACAGAGGTTATTATTTTATATATAAGGTTCTTCCTGCCCTTGGCAGTTGGTTTTCTGTGGTGGTGGGAAGCAAAAGGCTGTGGAGCTCTCGTTCCTTGTGTCCTGGCTGGTGGAACTGCAGAGCCACGTTGATGTGTGGGGATGGTTAATCTATATAAGAAACTGCCATGGAAACTGTTTAATTGGCAGTGAGAGAAGCCCCAGCTGTTCCTGCAAGCTGCTGAAATTGTCCCTTTGCTTTCTGCTGCTCCAGATGTTCCCCTGGGTCTGTCTGTCACCCTACAGCAAACTCACTTCTGTGACTGTACCAATGGCTCAAGCATTTCTAGAGCTGAGTGTGGCTGCAGAGATAACCCGACTTGTTTTGTCAAAAATAAGTCATGGAGCAAACCTGACGTGCAAAAATATGTTGGATAGCTCGAAGCAACAACCTCCTCCCTCAGATCTGGGAGGTACAAGAGGTGTTTGTTCTCCTTCTCCACCCTGGCACTGGTGGAACTCCATCCATTCACTCTGTGGGTAGATGGGGCCACTTGTGGTTTCCAAATCAACTTTTTCAGTATTTTTCCCTGCACAAAACATGAACATTTAGTCCATGTACTCAAAATGAGATCAGTACAGCAAGTTTTCCCCTTGGCCATGGTGTGGGTGCCCTGCTGGCTCTGACTCCCACACTCTGAAGGCTGTTAAAAACATCTGTGAACCAAATGGCTCAAAGAACAGCAAAGAGAAAAGCCTCAATTTTAGTTGTGGTTAAAGATTTATTTTTTCCCTTTTCCAAATTATCCACCTTTCTTCCCAGCCCTCAGCTCACACTGAGGCTGATGGGTGGTTTTGGGGTGTGCAGACAACAGCTCAGGGAGGCAGGACCCTGCACTCCTTCCCTCCTTTTGTTGTGTGGGGCCTCCACAATAAAAATGTTAAGGGTCTGTTGACCAAAAAGGGTTGAAAAATGAATATTTACACAGGACTCAATTGTTGTCCATCTTCCCCTCCACTTTAGTTCAATGCAAGGAGCAAATAACTGTGTGCAGTGATTGCAGCTATTGCTGAATTACCAACTTATTCATGACATGCAGATTACAGGGAAATAATTATAGCTGAGCTTGCTGTCATTTTATGAGATCCTCAAGTATCCAGATCTCCTCAGGGCTGGGTTTTTTTGCTGGTGTGGCAATGTTTAGCTTTAGCTGGAGGCACGGTTAAGTAGGGGAAGCATAAGTGCAAAATGTCCTTGAAAATAAGGTGACAACCGATTCTTTCTTTGTCTGGCCTCTGCCTTCTCCTGTTATATTCTGGATGTTATTCTGGGAGCTGGCACAGGCATTAGCAATGCAAAAATAACTCTGGGTTTGGCCACATCCATGTTGTTGTTTAGGAGCCCGCTGGAATTTGGGTGATGGTGGGGAGGAAGGGCTGAAGGTGGTGGAGTAGGAAGCTGGGAATTCATTAATTTTTGCTCACATCAGCAGGGTAGTTTTTGTTATTAATGACAGAAAAGTTACAGTGCAGAAAGGCACATTAGAACGACAGGGTAAGAGGAAATGACCTCAAGCTGCACCAGGGGAGGTTCAGGTTGGACATCAGGAGGAATTTCTTCACTGAAAGGATGGTTAAGCACTGGAATGGGCTGCCCAGGGAGGTGGTGGAGTCTCCACCCCTGGAGGTGTTCAGGGAATGACTGGACGTGGCACTCGGTGCTCTGGACTGGAGGACAAGGTGGGGATTGGTCAAAAGCTGGATTTGATGGTCTTGGAGGTCTTTTCCAACCTAAATATTTCTGTGATTCTATGAAAAAGTACCTCTATATGCTAAATTACGTATATTATACATACATATAAATGACATATAGTATATATATGTTAAATTCTGGGGGGAGTTTGGCCCTGAGACGTGGCATGGCTGGCCAGGGAACGTTTGGGCTGCAGGGAGGGGAGCTTGAAAAGCCCTGAGTTCTGACTCAGTGGCACAAACCATCTCCTGGCTCAGCATCTGGGAGGCTGTGGGCAAGCCCTGGTGCTCCTGCACCTCCTGGGGGACAGGGACCCTCAGTGAGCACTTGGGCCACCCCTGGGGCAGGTGGTCCTCACATTTCTCTACCAGCAGGGTGGTTTTAGGCTGGTGTGGGTGTGTGTGGGTTCTGCCCAGGGGGGCACTGCTGGAGTGCTGGTTAATTAGAGCTAATTGCAGGGTGATACTCTCCGGGTTTGGTCTGATACAAGTCAAACCATTTCCTCCTGTTCAGCACTTTGCAGACACGTGGCCACTGGGATGGACATGGATGTGTTCTCTGCAGGCACCCAGCTGGGCAAACACACACTCCTTTCCCTTTCCTCCCTGTGCCTTGACGGAGCCAAACACCCCAGCACAGCCTCGCTCTGTGCTCTTGGTGATGTTACCACTTTACTGTTTATTAATAAAGTGTTTATTAAACGGTGTAGAGTCCCTAAACCAGGTGAAATGGTTGGGTTTAGTTAAACTGAGGGTTCCTGTGTGACTTGGCCACACTGAGCCCTGGGCTTCTGTGACTGGCACCTTTTTGGCCCCCCAAACCAGCACCTTTCCCTGCACAGCCTTGCAGCTGGTGTTGCTGGCAGCACTTTGCCTCCAACCCTTAGGAAAGCTCTATCACAGATCTACCTCCCAAAAAAATAGGAGCCAAAATATCTTAACTGTGTTCCCTGCAAGGGGACTTGGTGCATGAATTGATTAAATATTTACATGAGCTTTTAAAGTCAAATACTGGGTATGAACTAAATTTTATCCTAAGTCATTAAATTTGTACTTTAAAGCTCATTTTTAAAGTCCCCTAGTGGGGACATTAAAAGTATATTTGATGGAGTTGATATAGTTGTAATTCTGTGCTAAGATCCCAAGTGATAGAAGGGGAACTCAGCCCAGGTACTGGGGACACAGAAACAGGAAGATCTCAAACACAAAAGGGTCAAAGTTAAGGGTTTAAGAAGAAAAGCAGCATCTTTTTAAAAGGAATAAAAGGTGAGTTTGACTCCAAATGTAATTTTGTTTTAAAAACTTCGGCTTTCTCACAAGCCAGGATCCAGAATGATGGTTTCATAGCCTTTAAGATGTTTCAAACAAGCAATATTATTCCCCAGGAAAAAAAACCATCCCCCCTCTCTCCCAGGTGCCCTCTGCAAATTGAATCCACAGTCCTGAAAACCCGCAGCTGATGCCAAGCATTTTAATCTTACCAGAAGTAAACAGTGAGCACCAATTTACATAAAAATCAACATGTAAAATTATTTCAGTGTTAACATTGTGACACTGCAAGTATATTGGGTGACTTTGGGGCCGCTCAACGCTTTTTAAATGGATGCTGCTGCTACAACAGATTCAGGTCGTGTTTGTTTTTCAGATGTTTGTAGGAAATTATGTGGATTAAAAAGCTCTGCTTTAGGAAAATGAAATGAAAAGAAGCATATTCTTCAAGGACCACTGAGTCTGGAGGTCTTTTGGAAGTCTTCCTGGAAGGAGAATTTCAGCAGGGTGGGAGGTTTGGGAGCCTGGAGGATGCTCCAGAGGTGAGCACGTGGTCCCAGGTGGGTGACATTTGCTGGCACTGAGGGTCCCCCATGTTTGCTCAGACTTTGCTTCGTGCTGTTCTTCCTCAGCTCATTTTCTCCATGTTGTCTGAGAAAGCTCTGGGAAGGAAAATGGGAGTAAAAATTGTCTGTGAGGGCAGGGAATGAATTAAGGAGGGAGAAGGGCCCTGGAGGCAGGAGTGGCTGGAGCTCAGCTGGCCCTGGCCTGTGCTGTGTCACTCATTGCAAACAGCTCTAAGTTATCAAACCTTCAGCCCTCTTCAGTTATGGGATGAAACATTTTGGCTTGTGGTGAAGAGAAGCTCACAGGAGATGCTTTAATGGCTGCTTCTGATCTTAAAACCAAACAGTCCCAGAACTGCTGCCCACGCCGAGAGAAACATCCCTGGCATTTACTGCATGAGGATGTGCTGAAGTCTATCCCAACACAGAGCCTGCATTTTCAGATGCTTGGGGATTACTTTTATCTTCTTCCCTCTATTAAATATAGCTCAGCTCTGCTGCCTTTCCCACGAATAAAATGTGCTGGCTCTTTCTTCCAGGAATCATCATTTTCAGCAAAGGCGCTGTTCAGCGGCACGTTCGCCCATGTTTGTGCTAGATGGGATCACTGTTGTGTCATCCACAGTGTTCCCTCTGCACTGGGATTAATTTTTGGCTGGTTTATGTAGGGAGAAGCCTTCACTGCTTCATCACTTTGTATGTCTTCTAAACCTGAATATGTTGCGGATTCTTTGGAGAAGAGAAGGTTGTGTGGAGAGCTATGAGGACTCTGTATCAGGAGCTGTAGTGGTAGGAATGGGTTCAGATTGAAAGAGAGCAGGGTTAGATGGGATATGAAGAAGAAATTCCTCCCTGTGAAGGTGGGGAGGCCCTGGCACAGGTTGCCCAGAGAAGCTGTGGCTGCTCCATCCCTGGAAGTGTCCCAGGTCAGGTTGGATGGGGCTTGGAGCAACCTGGGCTAGTGGAAGGTGTCCCTGCCCATGGCAGGGGGTGGAATGAGATGAGCTTTAAGATCCCTTCCAATCCAAACCATTCCATGATTCCATGATTCTCTTATCTGAAGCTGAGGAGTTTTACCATGGCTGGAGCATGGAGTGAACAAGGTCAGGGAGAGGGATAAAGTCTCACCTGGTGGTTTCTCAGGCTGGAGATGCTTTTTGATGGTGTGAAGGGTTGATTTTCATGCTTCCCTCTGAAGAATTTTGGCTGGGGGATGCTGATGGGGTTTGGGGGGTCAGGATGTGATCCCTGGTATCAGCAGAGAAAAAGCAGGATAAGGGGAGCAGCTCCTCATCCCTGCTGGAGGAGGGATGCTCTGCTCATCTCCTCCCGAGGAGAGCCACCACAGGGAGGAGGAATCACACACCTCCAGTGCCAAATGCCATCTGACTCAAGGGAAGGAAAATCACACCTCTTTATTACACAGATTTATCTCGCTGTGGCGGAGCCCCACAACCACCACCAGATGCTCATCTTCTCAGTTGCTTTATTGGATTCTGGGACATCCTCGTAATTGCTGTGAGTGGGAGATGATTCCCCAGCATCTGGCATGTGTTAATACTGATTCAGAGCTCTTGTCAATCCACTTAGGAGAGCGTGGATGTGCTCTCTGTGCAGGCAAGAGGCAGCCTGGAAATTCTAAAGCATCATTTGATCCTATTTTTCTTGCTTTGAATTGGTGCTGAATGACTGAGTCCTTGCCACCAGACCTGCTGCAGGGTGAGCAGTTGGAGGCGGGGAGACATCGCCCAGATTTCATCCCAGTTTCTGACAATGGGTAGGAAAATGCTGCCCAGTTTCCCCCAGCCTTCCCCCAGGTTGTCTTGCAGGAGATTCTGGAATGCTCTCCCAGCACAAGGTTCTCCTCAGCCCATGAAAATCCATTTAGCACAACAGAAGTCTTCCGATGAATTAAAATTAATTCTGTTTTAATGTTTGGTTTAGGTTCAAAAGGTCTCCTGCTCCCTCTGAGGGTGGTGGCAGATATCAGTGAGCACAGCTGCTTGGGCACTGCCTGCACCTCTGTGGGGGCAGAGGAGTATCAGCAGGTGGGTTTCCCTGCTCAGCTCAGAGTGAAGAAAAAGGAGGAATAAATCCAGCTAAAAGCAGATATTTCAAGAATTGCTCCAAAGCTGCTGTTTTCATTCCAGGTAGGAATAAAAACATGGGGTTTAGGCAGTTTTTAAAATTTTTGTTCTCTTCCTCTGAGCAGCCTGGCGGGGTTTGGTCAAACAAGGGTTCATGCTGGCATGTGCAGCAACGCTGGCAACCTCCTGTTCTCCAGGCAGAGCTTTGGAGGAGGAGGTTTTGGAGGGGCACAGTGGCACAGAAGAGTCTGTTTGAAGGAGGGAATGAAATACTTCCCTGCATCCCTCCTGCCTGAGGAATGCTGCTGGGTGTTGAATAGCACAGGAGGGCAGGGAAGAGGGATTCTCCAGGCTTGCAGGGCTCTGTCTAGACTCCCTAATGCAGCGGTGCCTTGAACTCCTGCCACGGCCTCTCGTCCTATAAATGGAAGCGGAGGAGCTTCCCACTGCCAAAGCCTCAGTCATGTTAATGAGACCCCAGTTCCTGTCGAATTTGGCAGCCTGTCCCTCTAAACCAGTGAACTTGCAGCAGGTGGTAGCAAAGCTCATTTCCTAAAACCACATCCCCCTGGAAGCAAAAAAGCCCCACCTGACTTCCCGTGGCGAGGCGGCCGCGTCTCCCTCCGGGCTGACGGGGGATTCCAGGTGTGGGGATGGATGTTCCTGCACGGGAAACCTGGACACCAGCACTCCACAGAGATGATATTTGGGTTGGCACATCACTCTTGTCATCTTAGAAAGGTGACACTGCCTGAAACCTGTCTTGTTGGACATGGGAAGCCTGTCCTGCTGGCTGTGTGAGGTGCAGCCACCACAGTCCATCTGGTTTTTGGGTGTTTCTGTTCCCTCTGGCTCCATCAGAGCTCATTCAGGTCACCAAGTTGGTTTTGGTTTAGGATGCATTTCCTTCTCCACCCTCCTTTCTCCTCTTTCTGGGATCAAGTTTCTCACAGCTGAGCTACTCTTGTCTCTCTGTTTCCCACTGAAGGCTGAAGCAGGGCTTGGTCACCTCTGTTTTTCCAAACCCAGCCCAAGCAATGAACATCTGCCAGGAGACAGAGGTTTTCCTAAGCCTGTGGTTTGAATAACTCATTCTTTGCAGCCTTGCTCCTCTCCCAGGCACATGCTGCCTGCAAGGAGCGGGAAGGACAACTCTAACCACTGGATGCTGCCTCCTGTGAACCCACAGCCTGGGATGATGGGAATGCAGTGCTGGCCAGGCTCAAAACCTCCTCATTTCACTCTCTCTGGGGTTGTGGTGTGACCTTTCCCATGGCACCTGGAGTGGAGAAATGTCCTCCCTGCTCTTACCACCGGAGGAATAATGAAGTGGTTGAGGTAGAAAATGACCCAGCATCTCCCAGGTGCCAGTGCCTTCCACCCTGACTTGCAGACACTTGGCACAGCCCTGCCCTGAACTCACCTGACCAGTTCTCTTCCTGCAAGCCCAGAGAAGCACCACTGCTCTTCTTAGCTGGCAATCAGAGTCTCAGGTGTATTTTAAAAGAGCCTGAAGTTTCCCCGAGTGTGTTGTGGTTCATGTGCTGGCAGTTTTGGGTTCCCAGGAAGGCACTCCTTGGGAAGTGTCATTGAGGGCCTTGCATCTCGGATGAGCGCTCACTCCTTAATTTACATGCAGGGAAACAGGCCCAGGGAGCTCCTGTGCTAAACTCCATAACAAATGCTGACAAAACCTGCAAAGTCCTGCTCCCATTTCCTACTCTAAATCCCTCACAGCAGACCCTGATATCCAGGGCTGGGAGCCAAACCCTCTCAAGTCAATGGAAAGATTCCCCCTGACTTTAATGGTCTTTGCATGAGTGCCTAATTCCTTCCTGTTCACAGGCTCTCTTGGACTTGGTTATGGAAACAACTGCAGCTACAAAGTGCTGCAGTGAACTGCAAACCCTTCAAAGCAGCGCGAGGGCAGATTTCCTCGTCCTCCCAGACAGCTGGAATGGGTTTTGTTTGACAAAAAGCCTGATGTATGTCCTTCCAGCCAGCGCCGTGGCTACAGCGTGAATGAGTGTCTTAACAAATACATTCATGCAGACGGGGTTTGTGGTCAGCCCACTGGGGCTGGAGCCAAGCTCTTCCCAGCGGGATGGGGAAGGCAAGGGAGCCTTGTCCGTGCGAGGCGAGGCTGAAGCTCCGTGGCTTTGACATGCCAGCAGCTCTCAGAGCTGTGGTCCCGGGTCTTGCAGCTTCTAGGAACTGTTTCAACTCCCTTCCTGCAAAGGCCATGTCACTGGTGGAGACCAGATGCTGCCCAGTTTTGTCAGCTCTTTGTGAAGTGGAGGGGTTTTGCCCCAGGCTGTGGCACCGTTGGCCACCTTTGTGCCTCGCTCCACAAAACTCTGGCAGAACACTTAAAGAAATGCTTAACTTTAAGGATATAGATGTGTTTCACTGACTTCCACAGGGATTTGGCTGGGGAGGGGTCTCGATGGGTCTGGCTGTGTGATGCCAGCAAGGGGAACATGGGATTTCCACCCAACACTTGGGACTATTGGCTGGCACCTCTACCTGCTCTGGTCTCATCATACAAGGAGCAATAGCAGCAAACAGATTTTTGAGTCTTTATCAAGCCCAGAGACACCAAATGTGACTGTTAGAGGAGCAGTGCCTTTCACAGGAGTTCTGCCTGAGTGTTTTCCAGCATGGAAGGTTGCTCAGCTGGCTCTCGGGGGAGAGGAGGCTGATGTTGATTGCTCTTTCTTTCTTTATGCCCTAAAAACTTTCTGGATGAGGGTTTAGGTTGTTTGACTTGTTTTACTTCTCTGTTCGAGCACTGGATGGGTTTTGCTGGTTTTTTTAAAATCAGGGACAGCTGGGTGTCTGCAGCCCCCACCTGCCCATCCCTCCCATCGTGTGCAGCCCGAGCACAAATGTGATCCCAGCGTGGCCTCAACGGCTTGGGCACAAAATCCCCACTCCTGGAGCCACGTCCTGCAAGAGGAACCTCGACCTCACTTTTGCAGCTGTGCATTCCTGAGATGAAAAGGGCAGCTCAGGCCTGGGCTGGTCCTGTAGCAGAAAATCAGACCTGGGCAAATCCAGTCCATGGAAAAGTCTGGCAGCTGCAGGAGCCGTCTGGCTGCTGGAAAAATCCGTAGTGAGCTCCATCAGTGACCCCCTCCTGCCACCCTGATTTGGGGAGATCTCCCCTTTGGCTTTCTGAGTGCTTGCCCAGGGGTCTCACTAGAAATGTGGCTGCATGAAGACTCCCAGTTCAGGGATTCAGGAATTACAGAGTGCTGGCCTGGCTCTTTCAGGAGGATTATTTGCTTTTTAAAGTCCCTGTCTGCAGCCCAGGCTGATCGTTCTGTTGCAGGGGAAAATAGGCAGCAGCCTGAGACATGGATGAAGTAATGAGTTCATCTCTCTGCAGTCTAGCCAGGTATACATTTTTTTCTCCCAGAACTTAATTAAAATGCATACATCTTTCCTCACATTTTTATGAAGCTCAATGGCAAATAATGGTCACTCTCTAATTGCACCAACATTAACTTGTTTTCATGGCTGCAAAGGATGGATCCAAGGGCAGGATCCTTCCTTCCCCTGCATTTGGCTACTCTGGGATGTGCTATCTCCAGCAAGCAGCCAGAAGCCTGGGTTTTATATCTGTTCTAGCACTCCCATGGGCTGGACTCTGCTGGGGAACGGAGGAGACTTGTCTACTGGAAAATACATGCATTATTCTGGGATGGCTGATAATCTTTACCTGGCTCATGCTCTCTCTGTTCTATTTTCCTGGCATTGCCACTGAATCCAGGGACTTTATCCTGTCTGGGGTCTGGAGCACTCTGGCCACAGTTTGCTGCCCTCTCAGAGCCTTCTCCTGCCTGGACCCCTCCTGCTGTCCCCTGGGATCACTGGAGAAAAGGAAAATAAAAATCCAGGCAAGTTTGATTGAATAATGAGTTTAGTTACTTTACCCAGTCACAAAACTGGGCGTATTTATCCAGAGCAAGATGAAACAGGGGCCCTCCTGGTGCAACAGAATCATCTGTCCTACAAAGAAAACCACCAGCTCCATTGTGGGAAGGGTGTAAAGCTGTTGATGGAAACGAGCATTCCATGATCCTATGGCCTTCCACTCCTCTGTGATTTTGGTTACTCCAGACTATGATCAGCACAGCCAGACCAGTCCTCATCCCAGTCCTGCTGGCTACTGGCCCCAGTAGTTGCTGGTGAGCGTGGCTGGCTGACGTGCCTGGTGGCAGGTTTCACAGGGGGCTGGTGCAGTCCCAGAAATGCCTTTGTGCTCCTTTGTAACATCCATCCAGCTTGGTTACATCCTGCAGGGGTGTTGGTTATGAAACGGCTGGTTTTACTGTCACATTTTTAAAAACTCAGCCCTTTTTTAATATGGAACTGGTTTCTGGTGGCATGAATATTGCAGTGCTGTGTTCTGCTCGAAATGATGCTGCTCAGACGTGCCAAAGCTCGGGGAGGCTTTTTAACATTTCCTCGTCTAAACCCGACCAGTCCCACGGAATCAAAATCTAACCTAAAATGCTAAAACTGCTCAGACTGCACTTCATGCATGGGAAATGAGCACATTTCGAGGTGTTGCCAGGGTGGAGGCACTAGGAGAGAGGGTTGTGGACTGTGAGGGAAGGTTATGCACCGTGGGAGAACGTGCAGGTCCAACACGTCTCCACTGGTGGGTGGTTTGGGTCCGGTCCAAGGAGAGGAGGTTGGAAGGAAGGATGTGGCTCTGCTTGGGTGCTTTGTGGCCTGGCCATCTGCAAGGAGAAGGAATAGGCACCATCCCTCCCATCCACCCTCCAATTTAGTGCGTGCCTGGAAAAGGCAGTGGTGGGTGCTGTCGGGATCATAAGTGGCACGTGGATGACAAATGGTCCATCCCTTGGGCTTTCCTTTGAGGCTCGGAAAGTCGTGGCTGGAGTGATGGCAACAACAGAAGAGGTGGCTGCAGGACCAGAGGGCTCAGGGAGCTTAGCTTGGCTACCTTTTCCAGGAGGAGTTAATCAGCTGGAACACGTGAGGGCTGCAGGGCACGGTGATGAACGGGAGCATACGGAGGGGGAAGGCTGGCTGGTTAAAAGAGCAGTGGTGATGGCACAGAAGTCCTTCTGGCAGCGCGATTTATTAAGCTGTGATGGTGTCTCTCACATTCAGTGGCAGATGCCTCATCCTACATGACATTTAATGCAGGCTGAGAGAGGTTTCACTGTAGGAAACCATTCTCTGCCTGCAAGGGGGGCGCTGGGCGGGCTGGTTGGTGACTGCCACGCTCACAGCCGGGAAGGGAATTTTCTAAATCACATTTTTATTAGGTGTCTAATTGACTCATCATCCCTGCCCCCCCTCGGTGCACAAACATTTGCTCTGCCCTGAAATGTGAGATGAGCAAGGCTGGCGAGAAATGCTTTCTGAATATAGCTGGGAAGAGAGAGAGAGAGAGAGAGAGAGAGAGAGACAGAGAGAGACAGAGAGGGCTGAGCAGGGTAAGGAAGGAGCAAATTCGTGCCATTTTTTAAAACAAGATCGTAAAAGACTGTAAAAAAAAATCCCCATATAAAAAATAACAACAACAACAGAAAGAGGTTGTGGTTTCACAAGCCAGTTTTCATTTCTGGAAGCTGATGACACCCTGGATTGCTGTTGTTTTTTTAGACCTCTTTCAATTTTTTTTTTAGGATGGTTTGTCTGTAGTGTGGGTATGTGTGGGTAGAGAGCTGGGAAATATGCAGAGGGAAAGAAAAAAAGCTAAAAATGGGCAGGAACAGGCTGGCTGCATATGCTTTCCTCCCCCCCATATAAAAAAAATAATTAAGGAAGATCTTGAAGGTGTTAAAGATTTGAGGTTTGTGGGGATGGAGCACAGGCAAAGGAGGGTGATCCTGAAGACCACATCTAATCTAGGATATTTTGTGCTTCATTGAGCACCATGCCCCCTTTCACTGCAGGAGGGCTGTGTCTCAGTTTGCAAAATAATCATCCAAACTTCTGATTTACGTCCCTTGGAAGCTGCCCTGCTCTGCAGGGAGGAGGAGGGATGCAGCCAGGCTGTCCCAGGGAGCTGGATGGTGTGGTGGTCTTGCAGGTCTTGTATCGCTGCCACCAGGAAATTGGGCTCTTTTTGCTGTCCAGTTTGGTGTCACATCTCATTTTGGCATTTTTGCTTAGAAAACAGTCTCGTTCTTCAGAAATATTTCTCTTTTCTTTCTTAATTTTTTATTTCTTCAAGCTGAGCCCCACTGGTCTCCACAGGAACTGGAGAGCTGGCTCAGCTGATCCCTGAGTGGGACAGAGGGAAGGTGGGATCTGAGGGCCAAGGTTCATTCTTTGCCCATTACTCCTTTCTAATAAAATAAAGTTTTATTTGAAAAGTTCAGACTAATTCTCTTCTGTTGTTTTTCTCAGCTGGAAGCTTCCCTTTAAAACATTAATATCCACATTATTTTTTTCCCCTGGCAGGTTAATTAATACTTGATTCATCACCTCAAAAGCTAATGGGTATTTATCCAGATCGTGAAGGAAATTAATGCCTGCTATAAATAACTGTGATAACTGACAACCCATCTTTACTTATGCTCCTTCTTCTTCAGGAAACAAACTCTGCTGGGCTCTAGAGGAGTTAATCCTGACCTATTCCCAGGGTTGGACTCAGTGTTTTCCTACTTGAGCTTTACTTTGTAAACACGGTGCTTTTTTTATGGGGAAAAACGTCAGCTTTTGTGGAGAGAGACCCAGACAACTCAGCATAATCACTCCAGCCTGGGTCAGCAAAGGCCAGTGGAGACTGTGGGTGTTTTCGTGGGCTGGGAAGGCTCTGGCTCTCTGTGAAATATTAGTTTTGGCTATGGGAGAGCCCTTTCCAAGTTCTTGTCTGCTTCCAATAAATGGTGTTTAGTGCCTTTGTCTGCAGCTCCCCAGCTATTGTCATTGATGACCTTAATTAGGAACATACCAGAAATCATGTCGAGTCTGTCACTCACACACACACAATTAGAAAGTCATTATTTACTTTTCCTGTTAACTCACATGTTCCTCCTGGGTGCTGCTCTGCACCCTGGACAGTCCTCGTTATCCACGGAGGCTTCAAGGGCGGGAATAACTGGATGGGTGCTGGGAAGCTGGATTGGCACAGAGGTGGCATGAGGGGTGAAGTGGATGCTGGAGGCCACCCAGAGCATGACCTGGTGTGATGTGGTGCCTCTGCTTTTCCCACTGCTCAGAGCAGGGTTTGCACCGGGTCCTGCGTCTCTGCTGTAGGTCTGATGCTGCTCTGGTGGCTCTGGGGGTGGCCAAGAGTTCTGTGTGCTGCAAAATACTGCTGACAGCGTTCCCAGGCTCCTGCCCTCGCTGCAGGAAAACCCGGGGGACAGCCTGGCCCGGGCTCTGCAGGGTGGGCTCTGTCACTGCAGCAATCACACTGCTTTTGAGGCAGGATAAGAGGAACTGAAAGAGCTCGTCTGTCCCATATGACTCCGTCTTTGGTTTTCCCCAGAAGTGAGGCCATTTGTGAGGCTGCCTCTAGGAAGCAGCAGCCTCTGGAATCACCCAGTTGTGTTACAGCCTCATCTTTTGGACATTTCCCCATCCCTCATGAATGCATCAAGCACAAAGGAGCAGCCAGGCATTTTTTATGATTGTTTTAAAAATCCACGCTGCTCTAGAGAGGATGAACTTACTTTTTTTTTTTTTTTTCTTTTTTTTCCAGGGACATTGGCTCATCAATTTTTAATTCTTGAGCTTGGCAGCACTGGTTGAATTAGAAAGAGAACAACTGATTTTAATGAGCATAAGATTAATGCAGATGAACTTGGCTGGAACTGCGATCCGGCTGAGGAGAGATGATTGTCTCACTTCACCTGCCAGCTCCCTCCTCAGTGGGCTGTTCTGTCCCCAGCATTAGTGGAGCAGAGCGTGTTCTCATCACAGGTCTTCACCTGCAGGAGAGATGCTCATTAACCAGCCTGCTTCACACAGGATATTTTGCACATTAACCCTTGGCAGCTGCTCTGGACCTTCCACAGTCCTGCAAGGTGATGAGGAATGAGGAGGGTGAGGATGGATGTGCACTGGTGAAGGAAAAACCTCCCCTGACTCTGGTACCCACTGGATGGGAAGGAGAAGACTTTTGGCTGCTGCATGAGGCCACCACAGCTCCCAGAAAGCTCGCGATCTACTTCTGTTGCCTATCTCTTGGTGGAGAGCTGTTGTTTTATTTATGTGTCATATAAATAATATAAATACGAAATAACAGAGCCCAGAACACCCCTCCCTGGGCAGAGCTCTCCAACTGCCCCACACAACCCCTGAGCTCAATGACTTGCTTTCCTACACACCTGAAATTACATATTTGCATAGTGAGTGGTTTTATTACCGAGGAAAGATGGGGGAGGCTGAGCTGAACTAATTTTATTTGATTCTGTGGGCAACTGGCAGTTTTATATCTCTGTTTTATTTTTTTATGTGCTCTGATCAGGTGGTGCTTATAGAGATCACATCGCTGCAGGTTTAGCCAGCTTGGGATTGTCATAATTAGTCTCCCAGGAGAGCATCAGGGAACTGTGGAAGAAAAGGCCAGACCAGCAGCTGGTGAGATCACCCAGTGACTTGTGCCCAGCTTTACAGGGACCTCCTGCCTGACCCACGACATCATGACCATGGATCAGCCACAGGATCATGTTCTGCTTCAACATCCCCCCCCCAGAGGGGAAGGAGGAGCCAGGCAAGGTGTATTAGCAGCCCCAGCCCAAGGGCTTTGTGGTGCCTGCACGACCCTTTGCATCCCAGAGGAATAAAAGATGGGACACAGCAGTGGGACTGTGGAGGCAGGTGGAGAGGACGGTGCTGTGAGTCTGTTTTGCAGCTGCAGTTTTGCAGATCTCAGGGGTCTAGATGGGAAATCTGTGAGGGCAAAGGGGTGACAGGGATAAAAAGCATCCTACACCCCATCTGGGTTTGTGCCACCTCCAGCTCTGCAGGAGCTGTGGCGTCGGAACTGGGAACATCCATCCCAGAGTCTAGCAGTTCCTTCTGGGGCTTCTGGAGACCTAATTCCCAAATAGCAGCTTCCCTTCTGTGCTCACAGCCCTTGCCACTGGGCCAAGAAACCCAGAGACGACCAGTGCTGGGGGCAGCACTCACCAGGAGTCCTGGCTATGATGCCTTGGGCTTCACCCTTGTCTACCCCAAAAATGCCTGGGCAAGGGGGGCAGGGCTTGGCCAGGATGGAACGTGGCAGCTCCAGGGGTGCATGGCATGATCCCCCTCCAGTGCCTGGAAGATTCAGGGGTCTGGAATGATAAAGCACCTCCCACCCCAAACCCACAGGTTTTTCCTCCTCAGTGTTACCCACTCACTGTTGCCCCCAGCCTGGCCGGGGTCGGTGCTGTGCTGCTGACCTGGCCAGGTGGAGATGCCAAGGCAAGTAATTTTTTTTGGCTTTTTCACATTTTCAGCTTGTTAACAACCGTTGTTCCCTCCACATCTGCCAGCTCAGGAGAGAACCGCTGCTTTAGCTCTGTGTCGCCAGGGAGAGCTTAAACATCGTCATTAAAAAATTCCTGCCTTGCATCATCTCCTCAGACATGCAGGAAGAAACCTTTGCAATTAGATTCCCCGTGCACTGGCAGGAGGGCAGGAGTTCTTCCTTTTTTTCCCCTTTCTGTAATGATGATGTTCTGTGATTTTAGGGCAGCAGGGAAAAAATAAAAAAGAAAAAAAAATTAAAAAGAAGCCTGTTTGATTTTCCTCATTATGTTAAGCCTGGTTTTACTTTCTGATTGCCAAAGCATGATAAATGGAACAAAGATTACCTAGAGATTTTCAAAGATTTGCTTTCAATTTGATTTTTCCTGAGCCTCATTAAGCCTGCAGGTTTTATCTACACTTTGTTCTTACAGTGGAGTGACATGACCATATATTAATAGCCATATTTTTTTCCGTTGAAATTAAAACCAGATAGAGGCTTCTCATGCTTTGCTTTCAAATCCTATTTTAAAAAATATTGATCATGTGTGTGTTGTTTTCCTTTCCCTCTGACACTGCTGGCTCTGTAAAGGACATTCGCCAGGGAAATGCTTTCAGTCCTGGATCTCTGGGCATTACTGGGTGCAGTTTTGTGGATTAAGGAACATATTTTGGAAGGTATAATGTAAAGATAAAAGAAAAACGTGGCTTTCAACAGAGAGGCAGACAAGAAAAATAAGATATTAAAGCAGGAGCTCTACAGTCAGGGGGTACAGAGGAGCTTAGACAAGATAAGATAATCTATGATGTGCCCACGTGCATCTTTCAGGAGAAAAATGCCATTGGAAGAGCTCATCCTCCATGATTTGAGGAGAAACTCATGGCTGAGAGTCCTGTGTGCTGCTGTCTAGAAGTTTGGAAAAGGGTGGCAGGGGCTGGGCATGAAGGACAGTGTGGGACACACCCACACAAAGCCACCCTGACATTCCTGATGGTGTTCCTTCTGCCGGAGCCGGGAGAACGGACCCACCTCCTGTGTTTTCCAGGTGTGCATCTTCCTCCTTCCGTGCCCATCCGTGACCCCACAGAGGTTTGGGGGCAGCTTGAAGATGTGATGAAAAGGTGTCCTTGTACCTGGTGTGGGAAACACCTTCCTCATGTGCTGGGGGACGGTGTGACAGTGCAGGAGCTGGCTGTGTCCTCCGAGTCCCTGGGGAAGGGGCTGGAGATAAAAAACACAAGAAAAGTTGCTCTGTTGATGCCCTGCCTTGTTATAGGAATGGGAAACACGGGTGCACAGAGTGGGGTGAGGGCAGACTGTCCTTAGGGTGCCACTACACCCACCCCAGTGAAGCCCTTTATTCTGAGACCAACCCAGACCTGTCTCCAAGACTCAAGGTGCTTCTTGTGATGTTCCTGCTCCAGGCATGATCCCAGGGGCTCTGCTTGAACTTGAAAGCAGCACTTTTGGAAAGGTTTTATGTACTCACAAGCTGTAATAATAATAATATTAATAATATTAATAATAATAATAATAATAATAATAATAATAATAATAATGAACTGCCTTTCTATTTATAAATGAGAACAGCATCGAGGAGCTCGGCTCATGTGACCACCACGGCCCTGGTGCTCCCTCACCCTCTGCCATGGGTTCATCTCACAGCCCTGCCAGAGCCCCATCCTGCAAGGGAAAGGGCATTTCCCAGGGTTCTTTCCTTTGGATACACACATATGGTTTTTCTCCTCTTGTTTATAAGGGAATGTTTTCTTTTTAAAAACAGGGATTGTTTTTGTAGCAGCTCCTGCCCTGCTTCGTAAACCAAACATTTCCCAGGCACTCCGTGTCTCAGACGATGTTATGGTTACTGGAATGCCAGTGGGAATATCCAAAATGTATTTCTTGGTGGAGCCTGGGGATTTTGTGCTGCCTGGCTCCAGATGTGACTCCGATGGGTCCTTCTGGCCGAGCCAGCTGGACGTGGCCAGTGTTGGGGCTCAGCTGGAGAAGGATTTGTGTTTATGTGCTGTAGCCCAAGGCCAGCTCTCACCACCCTGCAGCAGGGGAGCATCCCCTCTGCTTCCACTGGGACAGCTGAGGCTGAGGCTCAGGGCAGGATGAAGCTGCCTTTACTGGTTCCAGTGTGGCAGGAGCTGGACATGTGCTGCTGGTTCTGATTCTACCCAGTGTTGCCTCTGCTCCCCTTCCAACAACTTTGGACTCTGTACTTGCACTTCTGGAGAGGCTGAAGAGAGTTTTCCCTCTGGAACACCCTCTCACTATCTCTGCTAGATACAGGATGCCAGATTTGATTAAAATGCTCTGATCTGTTCTGACAAATCCTCTGTTCCTAAGTAGATAATAACCAGAAAATCTTCCTAAATAAATCCTGGGGTCGGATCTGTGCCCACACTTGTTATTCTTCTCGTATGAATTAAATGCTCCCCCTTACCCTGAACTGGGAGCATCTTCAGCCCCTCGAAGGAGAAAGGAGGCACAGATTTATTGCTGCTGAAGGACCGGGTGGAGTGTTAAGACTGTAAAAAAAGAGAGTCTGATTTGGCAGCACTGAGGCACAGGTGACCAGAAACACCTTGGCTGAGCAGGGATTAAAGGTTTCAGATGTCTGTCATCCCAAACTGCAGAGAAAAGTGCTGGGCTACCTTTCCATCATACAGAATCATGGAATGGTTTGGGTTGGAAGGGACCTTAAGGGTCATCTAGTTCCAAGCCCCCTGGCATGGCCATGCCAGTTCAGTGAAGGTGGCACCTGGAGGAGAGAAAGGAATATATTGGAATAACACCTGTTTACTTTTCCTCTCTCTTTCTTCAGTATCATCAATATACTTGATCCTGAGGTGTCCCTTTGGCAAAGGGGAGTCCCGGGAACCGTTTGCTCCCAAACCTGGACCAGGTGTTTGCACGTACTGAACAAACGGAGTTTCACCGTGAAAGAAGTGACATCCCTGCCGGTGGTGGCTGCTGCACTCCTGTGGCCGCCAGCCAAGTCCACATCAGCCATGATCCAGCTTTTTGACCTCTCCTTCCATCCGTGAATCCCCGGCGTGGATCCAAAGCCTTTGGACGGCAGCGCTGAGCTGCAGAACAAGGGGTCCGGCTCGTAAAATTTGAACAACAACAACAACAAAAAAAAAACCACACCAAAAAACAACCCCCAAAACAGCCCTAGAGATGCAAATCTGTGGGGCGGCCGGTTTTTGGGAAGGGATGCAGGGATGCTCGGCGCGTGCACCGCCCGGTGTCACCAGGAGGTGGCACAGCCCGAGCGGGGATGTCGCGCCGGGTCCCGCATCCCGGGCTGGACCCGCATCCCGGCACCCCCCAAAACGCGAGCGGCGGGATTCGTCGGTTCCAGGAAAGAGGAGAAAAGGATCTCGCGTCTCCTTTCTCGGAAAGCCATCGTGCAAAACCCGCGCGCACGGAAAACAAACGGACAAAAAAAAAAAAATAGAGGCACAGACTCCGCGTTTGATTTGGAGAGAAGGCAAAAATGAGCCCTGCTTTGAGAGCACGCAGCTGTTGGGACACTCACTGCCTGTGTCCCCGTGGCCTTCCCGCACGAGCAGAGCCTCCACTGACTCCTGATGCCCCCCGGTGCCCTCATTCCCTGCTCCAAACCCCAGCGGTCTGTTCCTTAAGGGAACTCCATTCGTGGCTTGCAGCACATCAACAGCCAGCAGCTCGCAGAGGTTTGTCCTGCAAAAGCAGATCCAGCAGCAGCACAACACCGGGAGGGCTCCGTGGAGCAGAGAGGACAAGGTGTCCTGTGGCCTGTGAGAATCCCATCCACAGGTCTCCATCTCCGGATTCCTGCATGGGATCAAAAGCATTTTCCCCACAGGACATGTTTAATCCCTGCTCTGGGGGCACCTGAGTCTGAGGTGAGACACCTGGAAATGGCAAATCAGCATTTTTTTTCTCAACAATGGCAATTTTCCTTTCCTAGAAAAGGCAGAACAGAGGCTGCAGAAGAAGGAGATCAGCCATCAACAATTGGACTTGACGATCTCAGAGGCCTTTTCCAGCCTTAATGATTCTATGATTACAGAGCAGAAGTGTTTGTTTTGAATGAAGCATTTGACCTGCAGCCCTCCTGCTGGAAACATTGCACTTCAAGAAAGTTATGGCCTATATTTCACTTGAAATAAAAATGATTTTGAAGTGCATTGCTATTGCTGGTAAAACAGAATCCCAGAATGGTTTGGGTTGGAAAGGACGTTAAAGATCATCTTGTTCCAACCCCTGCCATGGGCAGGGACACCTTCCACTAGATCAGGCAGAGCCACATCCAGCCTGGCCTTGGCCACTTGGCCAACATGGACCAGGCCACTTAGCCCACACCCAGCTCGTAACAAAAGAAAAAAAGTGATTTCTTCCCAATAAATAAATTTTTATTTCCCAAGAAATAAATTTCTTCCCAGTTTTTCCTTTTTGGGTTCACGTGTCCAAAGTTAACTGAAATAGTTCACAGTGAGTTAATGGAGTCCTGAGAGAACTGCAACCCAGCACCTCCTTTGGCTGCTTTTTGGGGTCCTTTAGGAGGACAGGACAAGTGACAAGTGACCACTGTCCCTTCCCAAGCTGCTGCCCAGCTCAGGGGTCCCTAAGCTGGAAGGGTTTAGCAGCTCCCCAGGGGTGCCTTTTCCTTGCATGGGTTTCTCCAGGTGCTTTTTAAAGCCAGCCCAACTTTTAGCTTTCCTCGTGGGTGCAGTAACTTCATGTCCTGCCCTCCCATCTCAGGCTGGAGGGGTTGGTGCAGGACACCCCTGTGAAGGTGCCCAGGGGGACACGGAGCTGCTGCTCTCCAACCCTCCCACTCACAGCCCCCATCTGTTTTCCCTGTACTTGCTGCAGCATCTTCCAGGAAAGCTCCAGGACAGGGACAGATGTTCTGCAAATGCAAGAAATCAGATGTAGGGGATGTTGTGCAATAATTTACTCACCGGAGCCCATTTTTCCTCCTCAGTCCCTCGTGAGAGTCAATCACAGATCCCCCTGTGAAATGTGGTGTAGGCCTGTGACATGAGGTTGGCAGGAGGCTTCTCTCCTGTCTTCAGAGGGAAAAAACTAGGGGTTTCAAGGCCAGTTATTTTTCAAATTAAAGTAAAAAAAAAAAAAAAAACCAACAACAAACCAACAAAAAAATCCCCTCTTACTTCTTTCTGTTGTTCTTTCTGAATTCCTACTTAGCATCCTGAGAACCCTTTAGAGGATTTGCATGTAGAACAAGGAATGAATTTCTCACAATGAGGCCAAAGAAAGCTGAGATCTGTGGGTGGAGGAAGCTGCAGCCCGTGCCAGCAGCCAGTGCCAGCAAGGAGGTGTCCTCAGCTGCCCAAGGTGAGGCTGAGCACTGCCTCAAATCCTCCCCTCATCCTGGGGCACTATGATAAGTTAATTAATTAAGATAAGATAGATAGATAGATGGATGGATAGATAGAGGAATAGATAGATGGATAGACAAACAGATAGATAGATAGATAGATAGATAGATAGATAGATAGAGGAATAGATAGATAGAGGAATAGATAGATAGAGGAATAGATAGATTAGATAGATAGATTAGACAGATAGATTAGATAGATAGATAGATGGATAGATAGATAGAATGAAAGAAGTTACCCAAAGCAAGGACCAGGCTCCAAGAGTTGCCTATTTACAGGCATTATAATTTCCTGTAGCTGCATCCATTTATCTGTCCATAAAACACCATCTGATGCCTGTGCCAGGATGAAGATGCACAGGAAAAAAATCAAACACCTCCCTTTTGCCTAGAACACGAGTTCATGAACTTCTGTTATCATTCAGGCCTGCTCTAATTGAAACATCATGTCTTACACAACCATCTCCTTCTCTGTCCCCTTCTTTCACTCTTTTAAAAACCATTTCCTGCTTTTTTCCAGCTGGACACGCTATCCCCCTTCCTGCTTTGAAGCAAATATTTTGTTGGGTTTGGCTGCTGTCACAGCCACACATCGTCTTCTGCCTGATATTTTATCCATCTGCTGCTGAGGAGAATATTTTGAGCTGAAAGGTCTCAACAGGGTTCTGAGGTGCTGAGTCGAATCAGGAAGTACCAGTGCAAGAGAACAAAAATCTCCTCTCTCAGCTTCCCCGTGCACAGTAATTCAGGCTGAAAGGCCTGAAAAATTAAATGCTGGGAGATGCTTTTTACAACACCCTGGTGCTCCAGTGCTGTGCTGGGTCCCACTGGAGGAGCTGATACACCCTGCTCACCCCTCCATGTGTGGAAATGGGATCCAACTCTGACTTCCTCTTCTGTCTCAAGCGAATGGAAAAAGAGAGTTGGGTTCCTGTGCTGTCGAGGTTGCCAGCACCTGCCTTGCCTCATTTCTTCTGCTTGAAGAGCATCTGGCTCTGCTCTGGGACAGCCATGCATGGCCAGTGGAGCTGTGTGCACTGTGATGAAGCCTCTTGAAGCCTGGCTGGAGATACTCATTGCCATCCTGGCAGGGGACACTCCATATTCATGGTGCCTTTCCTTCCAGAACACACACAAATAACTTTCTCTTTGATGTTGGTCCTGTCTCCTGTTTTTCTTTTCCCCCTGGGTTGCTCTGAAAAAAAAGGATGTTTTTTGTCCAGCCAAGCTCCAAGATCTGGAGGTGCCTACCCAGAGGAGGGGCTTCCCACTGTTGCTGGGAAGGGGGTACAGGAGGGGCTGTGAGGAGCTGCTCAGGGCTGGGGGATGTTTCCTTCACCCCACAGGGTGTCTGCAGGCAGGGCACCATCTCACAGCCCTGCTCTGGGCTTCCTCTGCAGGACACCAGCCCTTTGCTTGTCATCTCTCAGCTTTACCCTCCCCCCACCCTGCAGAAGTTTGACTCACAGAAGTTGTGTCACCGTTTTCTGTGAAGTTCCTTGGAATTCTCAGAAATACCACTTTTTTGCCGGTTTTGCTTACTTGCACTTAAAGGGGGGTTGCTTAATTAGCCTTTGAACTAGACAATGTCCATCTCTATCACAGCTTTGAGGAGACCTGGAAAGCCATTCCTATCCAGTCCTAGGGACTATCCTTCAAGTACTGCTTTGCTCCCCAAATCTTGGGGTGACACACTGTTCTCAAGCTCCCAAATGTTGAGCACACATGTGCCTTGCTCCCCTGGTCCCTAGCACTCAAAAACTACTATCTGGCCTTGTTTTTCTCAGTAACCTGTAAGGTTTGGGCTGCTCCTTGCTGTCAGGATGCCTGTTTGGGATGTGGTGCCTGGGGATCAGAGCTGGAGGCAGCTGGTGAATGGCCCTTTGTGCTCTTTGTCGCTTTGTTGCATAAAGGGGGCATTATTCCATCTATTAAATAAGAATCTTCCTGTTAATAAGATCAAGTTATTGCCTGAGTTACTGTGGGGAACATGTGGCATCTGCAGCAGGAGCTGCCTCACCCATTCTGTGCTGGATGATGGATACACAGAGCACAGCCGCTCTGCTCCGGGTTCAGCGGCAAAGGGCACAGGAGGCTCTTGCTCTGCTGCCAAACAAGGGCAATAACCAGACTGACAGGGCAGTTCTGGGGCTGCTTCTGTGCTGGAGGTGACACTGTCACACCCCTGCAATCCCAGAGCAGGTAGAGCAACCACAGCTGCTGGGGATGATTTTCCTCCCGCAGCCCTTCAGCTCCAGGCAGGGGAAGGGAGAGGGGTGGAACTGCAAAGGGAGTATTCAATAAGTCAGTTCATTTCCAGGAAATCTCTCTCTTGTTCTTTTTTCTTTTTTTTTTTTTTTTCTTTCCAATGGAAAAGCTAAGTCCTCTTGAACTTTTTGAGAACTTTTGTTCATTCCCCGTTGCCAGCTAAGCTCTGCTTTGTGCTGGTGACAGAACCCCTTTCTCCAAGCACTGGCCATGGGCCAGGACATGGAAATCTCCAGTGAGAGCTGGCAATGCCACAAGCCCTGTCCCCCTTCCCTCCAGGCTGATGCAAAGCCCCAGCTCCAACCAGCTTCCCTTTGGGGACTCTCTGTGGGTCTTTTTCCTTCTCCTCCGTGTGCGGATGTGATGGAGCAAGTTCTGCTGCTTCATCTTCCTCTGCAATGGAAAATGTCAAGTATCATGGGGAATAGTCAGTCAAACCTGTGGAAGTGGAGGGTGTTGGTGGCAGTTCCTTGGAAGACACAACTGTCCAAGTGCTGTCAGAAGGAACTCCTCATTTCCAGCTCCAGAGATGTTCTCTCTAAGATAGGACTTGTTCTCTGGGCCTTTTAGTGCTGTTTGGGTCTTTGCATCATCCAAAGACCTCCAAAGGGTCCTGGTTCCATCATGCTGGGTGGTAAAGAGAAGAGATTTCCTGGAGGGTCTCTGTGTAAGGGCAGAGGCACAGAGAGCAGAGCAGAGGGAAGCCAGAGTATTTCACAAGTCTCCTCAAACCAGCAGCCACTGCAGCAGAGGGACCAACATCACCAGCAGCATCTCCAGAGGCACAGACCATAAGA